GGTCTCCGATCCCCGTCAGCAACAGGCTCCAAGCTGCCTTTCAGACAGCTTCTTGGCATTCTCTGGGCTCGGAGGGTTCTGCGGAGTTTATCTTGGCACTAGAGCTGACCGCTTTAACGACGATGTGTTTGTGTTTGCACAGCCTACGCCGCGAGCATCCCTGCACCGCGGTGCCTGGAGCGCGGCGCCTTGCGAGGATGGCGTTCTTCTTCTGCTAGCGGTCAGAGATCGCAGGGCAGCGGTGAGGCAGAAGGTGCCGCGCGCAGGCGCGCTGCGGAGAGCAGAACTGGGCTCAGCTGGCGCAGCCGCAGCCCCGCAGCCGCAGCCCTGCTGCGCAAAGAAGCTGCAGCTTCAGTGCTAGCGAGAGGAACCGCGTGATCACTTCAGCGCCGAAAACGTAAAATATGGTTCTGCACAGCAGATACTGATAGGCTTTAGCTTCATAAATAACCTGCAAATGAGACTAATTAACAAAAAGCACCTCCTAGCATCTGCTGCGCTACTCAATACGTACCGGTTCCGTCAGTGCAGGTCACCCTGCAGTTTTGCTGCGCAGAGACAGGTTTGCACGTCATCCGGACGTCACCCCAGCAAGCGAGGCCGCGTGCGTGGCTTCGGGGGCAGCCAGCCCGGCAGCTCCACGCAGAAGGCACGCTCTGTGTGTCCCGTCCCTCGCCAGAGGGAGTAACGTGGGACACAGCGACGAACGGCCGGCCTCTGCCGCTGCGTCCAGGCAGCCACGGCGATGCCGCGGCCAAAGAGCGACCGTTTTCGACTCTGTCGGCAGAGTATCGCTTGCACTTTCACACAGCCTTCGGGGCACTGGGAAGCAGCGGCGCGGCTCAGCCCGGGGAGCTGCTGGGCGTGCGTGCAGGCAGAGTGAACCACCCAACGCCCGTCAGAAGGAGCCGCTCTGGTCCTGGGTCCGTTCCCACTGACACGATGCGCACAGAAAAGCTGCTTTAGATCTGCGCCTTCCTGCCCGCACACAGCTCTGGCATCTTCGTGGAAGTGAAAATATAAAAATGGGAGAATCAGAACCTGATCTACAGGTGTGCGACTGGAGAGAGCTGGGGCTGCGACCCTGTCCCCGCGCGCAGCTGGAAGCCAGCACGGGACCAGCCCTGTGCAGAGCCTGG